TTCAAATCACTAATACAGTCTAAGTGCATTTAGACGAAACCAAGCTCAAATTTTATTTTGAATGGATAATTATTGATTACAAGTCTTTTGCAATGTATGTAAGGCAAAGAAAAACTGCCGAAAAAAACGTCTAAGAATCACGAAAGGAAGCACTTTTTTTTCCTTGGCCATTAGATCATATTGAAAATAAATAAATTGGACTTACTTTCAAAGTTACTTCGTCATATGGCTGATTCAATTCTAAATTTGTTTCGTATATTGGATCCGAGTCCAGATCTGTTAAACGTGAACCTTGACTCGTACAAATGTATTCACGATGATAAAGCTATAAAAATATATTAAAGTACAAAAAAAACCGTCGATAAATAGTATATTAATCTTGCTTACTTCAGTATGTTTCGCATCACTTAATAAATTAATCGATTGAATTTGACAGTCTTCTGGTTGTAATATGGTAATGACAATAGTTGGTTCCTCACTGTTATTAATTTCACTTTTATTAAAATTTTCTACTTCTTTATTACAATTATCAGATGTTGATAATGAATTTGAAGGTGGACGGAGAAAAATTTTTGTGATATTGTTTGAGCTATAAAAAAAAGAAGAATTTAATACAGTTATTAATTTCACAATCATATCGAATTCAAATGTACATCTAGGTAGTCTACCAAACAAAAGCTAGGTAGTAGTGACGTTTCTAATCATCTAAAGACTCTTATACAAATTAAAAATTACTCACATACCTCTCATTTGAGTCCTGACACATTACTTCATTCAAACAAATTTCACAAACAGCATCAATTAGAAGATTTTCATCGGCACACCAATTGCACTTCAAAAACACGTGACCAGCCATTTGATCTTCAAAGAAAAAGACTAATAATAAAGTTTTGTGGATAAAAGCGTATTCTGATACATCTTATTCTAGTGCTTTTTATCCATTTCATCAATCTCTTCTTAAATATTATCTATCTGTAAAATATAGTTAAGAACAAGTTGTCGTTTACCGTAGCATTTTATATTTGCTCTCAAATGGAAAATAACAAGATTTTTTTAAAAAAAGAAATGAAAAAAAAACAGCATACCGTTATTTTCACAACTTGACGAAAATTGTACAAAAAAAAACACAAATCATTGTCGAATATTTTCAAATTTACTTCTGAATCATCATTTTAAAAAAATAGAAAGAGAGAAAAGGAAAAAACGAGAGGCTGTATAAAAAAATTCTTAACGTGTCTGATCATCAACAACAACAAAATGGCAAGAATCAAACAAAAGCACCACATATTTGGTATATATACATTGATGAGCGAAAAAAACAAATATGATTGTAGAAGCTCGAAAATACTTCCTCTAA